AGTTAGTTTTAATTATTTGCACTCCTTTGAATTCATTTGTAATATTGTGCCACCAGGCTCGAGGAACCAAGCCTCTTTATAACATGTAGCAATACAGCCCATAGTAGTTCATCTTTGGAGTAATTATTGTGTATTAGAATATTAGTTAAGTAGTTTTAATAATCAAATTAGAATTTTAAGGAATTTTAATAGAGTGGATTTTTGGAATTATTGGAATTGTTTAATAACATTAATTAAGGGTAAAAAAGTTAACTTTTAAATTAAAGTTAATTTTGAAGTTTTTAGATGTTTAATAAATATTATACCTTATGATGAGTACTTAGACCATTAGTTTGTCTAATTTTGAATTTTTTATAAAAAATTATGATTTTTTGAAATTTTTATCAAGTTTTGAACTACAATTGATATGAAAGTTTCCTTTTTGACTTTGACAATATTTTGAAAGTTTGACCTTTTCAAAAAATACCAGACCCTAAATTGAGTTTAATGACATCAAGTTTGATGAATTTAGAATTTTTTATAATTAGTTATGATTTTTCAAAGTTTTGTTAATTAATTTAATTTTAAAATTATATAATTTAAAACGTTTTGATTATTTTGATAAAAACTCATTCCAAACTTCATGGAATCACTCCCAAAGGTTCAGGATGACTCATGAGAATCTTTCCAAGTTTTTAAAAATTATTTGAGATTTTTAATAAATTTTAATTAATTAAAATAATTAATTATTACTTTTTTCTAAAAGTTAAATTAAAGTCAAATTAGAGTGGTGGTTATGGGGCTTTTATTTTTCCTAGGTAGATGACTAAATTCTGGTTAGTTTAATGCATTAATTATATTTTTTGGATTTAAATTTGATTTATTAGAATATTTAAACATTTCTAAGTCCATAAAAGGGTTTAATTTTGACATGTTTAATTTTCTGACCTAAAGGGCTCTATATTCAGTCAAATTTAATCCTTTGGTAGAAGATGTGACTTTTGACCTCTAGAGAAATAGCCAAAATCAACAAAAGAAAAAATTTAGAAGAAGATTCTACCTCACATCTGTCGAAAGCATCCAAAAATCTTACCTGAAATCTTACTAAAGATACTGAACTTATGTCTCTTTTTGGTTTGGGCTACGAAAATTCGGCCCTGGCCTCTGCCCACTGTATACAGGTAGACTGTCGTGCGCTACTTATTGATTCTTGTAGGTGGATTTTAACGCACTAATGAATTTTCTGCTTTCAATGGTAGATGCTTGTATCTATTGAGATTCTTTCACATTTGCCCATAGACAATATGTTGAATTTAGAACAAGTTTTTGGAAATTTGTATTTGCTTGTAAACGGTGTACTATATGTACGATGAATTTCCTACAACAACTTGTGGAGACTGACATTTGTTGTAGTCTTTTGGCCTCTTGCTTGTGGTTGATACACCGGGCATACAATAAATCTTCTATGAGAGCACATAAAGATTTGCACTTGTCGTAGTAATTTGACATGTTGTTCGTATATGTCATTTAATATGTATAACGGGCCTCCATAAGGGCCCGTGGACGCATGCATTTATTGCTTATTATCCGATGTTTGCTTGTAGATAACATGTCGTATATAGTGGGTCTTCTACACCATCTTGTAAGAGCTCCTATCTTCTATAGTTCTCTTATGTATTTATCATATAGATGACACATCAGGTGCATGACGAATCTTATATAATGACTTGTAGATATTTTGCACTTTCTGTATCTCATCTACTTCTGCTTGCAAATAGCATGTATTATGTATGACGAATATTCTAAAACCCCTTAGATATTTGTACTTCACTACATATCATTTATCCTTCCATATAGAGGGTCCATGTAATTGAGTGATGTTGGACAATTGTTGACCATGGAGGTGTTATAGTATCTTTGCCACAACAATTGGTAGGTACCTCAAATGTGCTACAGACATGTTGTCTTTTTCATCATTCTTCATGTACTTGATTGTAGACATGTCTTCTACAGTCATTCGTGGGCAAGTTTTATTGTCTTATGCCTATTTATATCTCTTCATTAGTGCTCTCAAATGGACATAAAAAAAATTGCTACATCTCCTCACATGACTATTGTGTTGATTGTTTCAACATTAACTTTGTTATTCACGAGGCTGTGTTGCAATGTATTTGCTTTATTTGCTAAATGCTTTTCATTCAATCTCTAGGTGAGTTGCATTCATTACTATTGCACATATGAAGAAATCACATACAATTGTTTGTAAACATGTCTACTTTGATCTATGAGCAAATGATTGTAAGTAAGAAGAGTCTTTCATCATTGCATATAGGCAATATATATGTCCCTTGCTTTGGACTGTTGTTGTTTACAAATTGACCTTATAAGGATACTGATGTATTTATTGCATGTTCTTTATCATCACTTACGGGCAACCTTTCATTTTCTATCACTAGTGATTTATCACTTGTCTGTATGATGATATCATCCACCACTATACTCCTCATGTCTTAGCAGTTAATGTAAGTTATCGCAAATCATTAATCGCTTAAGCTTTCATTATCACTTGTACGTGAAATATCTCACATATGAATTTCAATATTGGGTTTTGTTCGGTTTAGAGAATTTAGAGAGAGAAGTTAGAGAGAGAAGTTCTGAGATAAGTTAAAGTTTTTTGCGGTTTTTTTTCAAAAATTCAAATTTGCAGTTTTTTTCGCGGGATCAATGGCGACGGAAGGTTGCCGACCACCGATCTCTGGTGGCTCTACGGATGTTCGTCGCTCTTCCACAAGATTGTCTCATGGTTCAGCGAAGTCGCTTTATGCATCTCTGCCAGCTTTTGGTGATATTTTGTCAAGTCTTTTTCAAGGTTCTATATCGAAGTTTCGTTCAGGTGCACCTTTGGTAATAAATGAAGGAGGTCTAATTTTTCCTCCTAAAAAATTAACATAAGTTTTTGTAAAGGTAAAGGTGTGTTAGAAGATAATCCGTCTTCTAAGAATCTGAAGAATAGAGATCTCATTGATGTCAAGGAGCTTGCTGCTACTGATTTTTCTAAAAAGTCTTATGAAAATGATTCTGATTTCTATGGTAAACAAAATGCTTTCAAAAATGATACTGAAACTCTAAATGATGTAAATAGCAAGGAGGTTCAAGCTATGGATAATTCAAGGACAGAATTTTTGAATAATTTTGCTACTGAAGGCAATGAAGGCCAAATATTAAATGATATGGAAAATGTACGTGAATGCAATAACAGAGAACTTGGATCGTGCAATGAAACAGTTAATGTAATTTCTGAAACAACTCGTCCTATCTTACAACAAAATGGTTGGGCCAAAATGGAACATATCAAAGTAGCTCACCTTGATTTAGGTGATTTCAAATCTGAAGATGGTATTTCTGGATTGATGGTAATCTTTTTCAATGGGGAAGAAGGGAGTTTGGTAGAGTATGTGTTTGTATCAATCTAGACATGGCATTACCTAAAGGAACTTGGGTTGAAAGTCGCTCGGGCAAGTTCTATCAAAAATTTGAATATGAGAGACTCCCTAATTTCTGCTTCAGTTGTGGGAGAATTGAACATGATAAGTCCAATTTCTTTTTTAACACCTCTGCTGACTTTTCTGGTTCTATTAAGGAAGGGGAACATTCAAAGGCTATAAATGAAGAAAATTCCAACAACAACATTGTTTCTAAAGAGGTTACTAAAGATAATTTTGGCTATGGTCCTTGGCTTCAAGTTAATTATGGCAAGAAGAGGAGTTTGTTCAAAAATCAAGTTTCTCGGGACAAAGAAGCTGCTGGAAAAAAAATTTCAGAATCTATCTTTAAAAAACAAATCTGGAAGGAAGTCGAAGCTATGGAAATTCCTAATAAAGTGGTGCAGTTTTCTATTAAGAAAGGAGTCACTGAAGATGCTATTAAGGAATCTTCTAAATTGCAGCATCCAGAAATCTCTTCAGAAGTCATCATGGATAAAAGGTTAAATGTTCATAACTCTTATTTAATCTATACTAACAAATTCAGTTTGCTTGATGATCTGATTGAAGAAGGAGAAATCACACCAGCTGCATTGGTTGAAAACAATGCTTGTATAAATCTAGAAGAAGATTCTAATGTTACAGAAAAAGAAGTTATCAATAAGGAAGAGTTTTAAAGCAATTCTATGCCTATCAAGGATGGATGTCCCCCTATTATTAAGAATAAAGGCAACAAACAACTCAAAGGACTAGGTCCTATCAACTCTACTCCTAGAAGTAGAAGGGCTGAAAAACTCAACAAAGATAAGTTGGGGACTTAATCCCCTCTTATGCAATGAATTCATCCATAGCATTTTGGAATTGTAGAGGAGCTAGGAAGAGGAGAGCTTCTCTATACTTGAAGGAGATTGTAAAAGATTTTGGAGTTTTTTTCATTGGTTTATTGGAAACCAAAATCAATTCTTTTGAGAGAAAGAAAGTGGATATTCTCATTGGCACCGATTGGAACTTCTATTGTGTTCCATCAGAAGGTATATCTGGGGGCATCCTTGTGTTATGGAAAGGCAACATTGCCTCTTTTCAAATATTAGAATCTTCTTCACAATTCCTTGTGAGGGATTTGGAGATTCTCAATAAAGGTACTCAGAGGATTGCTTCAATCTATGGTAGTAAGGATGTTTATAGAAGAAGATTGCTTTTGGAAAGGCTAGAATTCTTTGCTAACAAGGAACTTCCTATGGTGATTGGAGGATATTTCAATTGCATCCTTTTAAGTGAAGATAAAAGGGGAGGGAAAAGATTTAAACTTTCCCTTGGATCCAAAGAAATGAAGACTTTTCTTGCTAATAATGACTTACATGAAGTTGGTTTTGTGGGACCAAAATTCACTTGGTGCGAAAACAAACAAGGGCCGGAACGTATCCTTGAAAGATTAGATAAGTGTTTTATAAACCCAGCCGCTACTACTTCATCAATCATCTATGTGTTAGGCACTTAGCACGTGTGGCTTCGGACCATTGTCCGATTATCTTGAACGTAATGGTTCATCAAACAAAGGAGAGGATCTTAAGATTTGAGGATGTTTGGGCTCAAAAAAAAGCTTCTATGGCTGTGGTGAACAAAGTTTGGAAAAAGAAATATAGAGGAAATGCAGCCAACATTTTGAATTGTAAAATGAAAAATTCAATCAAAGCCCTTTACTATTGGAGGAAATCTAAAATGCAGAATTTACTTTCTCTTAAAAAGGATCTTTTGATTCAAATTGAGAATCTTCAAAGGAAAGAGGCAAATGAAGTAAGTCTTTTGATTGAAGAAAGCTGGATGCTAAAGGCTAAAGTAGGAGAGTTCAACTCCACTCTTGCAAAACTTGATACTTGGTGGAAACAAAGAGCTAAGGTGAAATGGATGGTGGAGGGAGACCGGAACTCTAAATTCTTTCAAGAATTTGCTTCATCTAGAAGAGATGCTAACTTTATTTCCAAGATTAAGAATGAAGTTGGAGAAGTGGTAAAGGAACAAAAGCTTATTGAAAATGCTTTCATAAAACATTTTCAGGAGAAATGGAAATTCCGAAGATGCATTCTTGAAGATTGGCCTTCTTCATGGAGCTGTCTAGATGAGGAAGATAGAACTTCTTTAAACAAATCCTTCTCTATTGAAGAAATGGAAATTGTTATAAAAAATAGTGGTAATAATATCTCTCCAGGTGATTGAAGGTCAATGTGGATTTAGACAAGGATGTCCCTTGTCTCCTTATCTCTTCATCCTTTGTGCTCAATTTCTTTCTAATGCCTTCAAACAAAAAGCTGACTCATTGGGAGTTCGGATTTTTTCAAATGGGCCTTCCATTTCTCACTGGTTGAATGCAAACGACGTTATCATATTTTCAGAAGCTACCTTGAAGGCTACCAAAGAAATTAAATATATTTTGAGTAATTTCTGCAGTTGGACAGGTTTGTCTATCAACTCTATGATTTTCAGCAAACTTGTAAGAAGAAGAAGGAAGAAAGCCATTAGCCGATTGTTGAATTTAAAAACTGTAAATAAATTAACCTATCTTGGAGTAACTCTTAATTTGACAAGGTTAGTTAAACAAGACTTTCTTTTTATTATTAATACAGCATTGAAGATGACTAATATTTGGGGGAGTAAGATGATTTCTTTGGCTGGAAAAATTCTCTTAACTAAAACGGTTTTGCTTTCATTCACCACCTTTCATTGTACTAAATCTCTTGTGCATAAAAGTATTCTAGATGAGTTGGATAAGATTTGTAGAAATTTTATTTGGAACAAATCTAATGGAGGTTATGGTTTACACTATGTTAATTGGTTAACTATGTGTTTACCAACTAAATGGGGAGGTAGAGCTCTTCACTCTTGTTCTACTAAAGTTGGCCCAATGAGATCCAAATTGGCATGAAAATACATATATGAGAAAGATTCCTTTCTTCACAAAGTATTCTTCCCTAAATATGGAAATCTACTCGATAAGGTAGATTTGAAAAAATCTGGCTCTAATTCCTAGAAAATCTTGAAGATAGGTGGAAAATCATTAAGGCCATTTATTAGATGGAGGGTGGCAAATGGAAATGACATTGATGTATACAAAGATACATGGATCTTATACAAATGTTTGAATAAGTGGCCAACATTCATTTCTCCTCCAGAAGACAGCAGATTTCCTGTTTCCAACTTTTTAAAGAATGGAAGATGGAACGTGGAGCTAATGAGAAGGATTATGAACGAAGATCTTGTAAATCTTATTTTACAAACCATTAACCCGGTTAATAATGAAGAAGATAAAATGGAGCTATTTCTTTAGGGCAATGGTAGATCCTTATCAGCTATGGTGTTTGAAAATTTGGTAAAACATTCTCAATCAGATTATTACTAGAGATGGATAAAAAAAAGCAAAACTTAATCCAAAAGTGGAGACTTTTTGGTGGAGGATCTTTAATAATGGATTGCCTACCAATGATTTCCTGGAACATAGAAGATTGCAAAGGTTCAATCTTTGCCCAAGAAGCTGTAATGTTGCAGAAAACAGAGATCATTTGACAACAAATTTCCATAAGCTGAGGGAAGTTATTTCTCAACTCAAGGAATGAGGATTTTCTTTCAAAGAATTTCATTCCTAACAAGATTGCTATAAGCACCTTTCTATCCTAAATCCCTTTATGATTAATCTCTATTGTTCAGTGGTATATTTGGCATAGAAGTCTAGGAATAATCTAATACATAATGGGAAGGATGATAGCACATTGTATATTGCTTCCAATGCAATAAGCTTTGTTTCAATCTCTGTCCAAGGAATTAGTAAATACTCGGGTATATGGGATGTCAACTAATCTTCAAGGTTGTCTTTATCTCATTGGCACCCCCCTCCACCTGATTGGCTTAAAGTGAATGTGGATGCTTCTCTTCTCTCAAATTATAAAGCCAGAATTGCAGGTATATTTTGTGATCACAAAGGAAGATTCCTTCTAGCTTTTGGTAAACCGTATATCCATTGGGATATCTATTCCTTGGAACTCCTTGCTACTCAATCCATTAAAGAAGTGTTGAAGGATTGGATGTTTAAATACAAAGGTATTATCATAGAAGGAGAAAATCATAATGTCATGGAATTCTTGAAGATGGCCAAACTAAAGGAAAACACAAGGTATGAAGATACTTTTCTTTTTGGCGAATTCAATAACGTCATTTTCAATTGTGTTGATAGAAGTTGTAACAAGTTGGCATATTTATGTGCTAACTTTGGTGTGTTGATCCATTTTATTTGGGATGACATTACTATTAATAAGATTCCTTCTTAATTCATGTCATTGTTAAAGGAGGAATCTACTGTTTTTGGCTCTTTAGGATTGTAATAATTTCTTTGTTCCTTTTCTTTTAATGCAACTTTCTGCATTTCCCTCAAAAAAGAATTGCAATATTCATTTAAGTATTCTTGTGTATCTATTTGTAATTTAGATTACACATTCTTATTAACCATGTTGGGATTTGGATTATTGTTGCTCTTTAAATGTACAAGTTTTGGTTTTGCATGAATCCAAATCAAGTCCATAAGCCCATTGTCAACTTGTTCAAGTCCTTGTTCAAGTTTGAGTCCATGTTCAAATATGAGTCCAAATATAGTCCCCTACTTTCCTTTCAAATCAAGTCCAATTCGACTCTTCATCTGAATTTAAATTGGATTATTTATATTGCCATTTTAAATTCAATTATGATCTTTTATCAATGTATTTGAGTTTAGTTTAGGCCCAAGTCAAGATCCTTTGACTTTAGTTCATTTAGTTTTGATTTATCATCGTCCAATGTATGAGTTCCATGTGGTCTTTTTGAGTTCAAATTTAGCCCAAATCGAGTCCAAGTCTCTGTAAATTCAAGTCCACATTCAAGTTTAAATTTGGTTGTTCAAAGTTCAAATTTATTGATATTTGAATTCATAAGTTATGTCATCCTTTAAGTTCAATCAATTCCAAGTCCTCCGATTTAGTGAAAATTTTGGCAGCTTACCGGCGTTTTCCCCGATTAGGGAAAAACCAAGAGTCATAGCCTGCCCATCACGTCAAAAAGACGCGCATGGTCGGTGTTATGAGACACCACAGCCATAGTTTTCTTCCCCCACCATGCCAAGAAAGACGTGCATATAAAATATATTTTTGTTATGGGAAATGATGTTTGATCTGATTTGGATCGCCCGAATCAGATAGAGAATTTGACAAGGAACATGTTTTTTATGTAAGGGTCCAAGAGAATTTTGGATTGCGTTGCATTGCTCTTTCTAATTTCTAATTTTCACATAATTACTGTGTTTTGAACTTTTTCCCTCGGCCTCTATCATGTCTGATCATGCACTGAGAATTGTGTTACGGCTTGCATCAAATTATTAGTACCTCTAATATAATTTTAATCATCAAACGAGCTCATTATATCGATGGACTCATCGAATCAACTATTTTATCATTGTCACGATCTATTATCATGATGTATTCATTGAATTATATATAGGGTCATAGAACACCACGTATTAGTTCTCATGTGATAATATTTGAGAAGGGCTTATTTGAGAGAAGTGCTGGTTGGAAGTATTAGTCACCCTTTCTTATAGAGCTGTCCGTCTAAAATTAAGTAGTTTGGGTAGGTTGTTTAGGGTTTAGGATGAACGTCTTTAATCAATTGCTGAAGCTCACGATCAATAATATCCTATTTTTATAGGGTACATAACAAGTGAATAATTGGTGATGTGATCATTGTGGTTTGAGATGTTAGGCCTGTAGTTACACTCGCTTTCTCATGCACTCATAAATGGGTGTGGCAACCTTGATCATCAATCTCAAATTGTATTTAGGGTTTAGGGTTTTACAAGAAAGCAATATTGTTCAATAACTTGGGCCAATATCTCACGTATACTCTTTAAAACAATTCTAATTATAAAATGCGAGCTCCAGTTATCGTAAACATTTCTTGAGCTATACAAGGTTATTTAGTGTTTAGGCTTTAGTTGAGAACAATAATAATCCATATGTTGGAAGCATCCACATTAATGATGGTGGTATGTTGAAGTCTAATAGCGCTAATATTGGAGGTATAGTAAGATGTTATTTAAGTTTCAGGGAGGCATTGGAAGCTCATGGTGACTATTACTTCTTTTCCAAATATACAAGTGACTTTAAGAAAAACCCTTAATCACTCATACTTACTAGGTTTGCTCCATTTCAATCTTAGGATAAACTTCTTCCAAACTCATCTTTTATCAGTCTCAATGGACAGTCAATAGTATGAATATCCAAACCTTCTTCTCATTTTATCATTTTCTTGTTAATGCAATGTAATTGAATATCCAAACCTTACCCTCTCTTCTCGCTTGCCTTCTCAAACAAGCCACAACATTTGGGGTAGGAAATGGCTTAAGATTTCAGATTTAATATATATAAAAATATAGTTAGTGGCCCAGTGTTGCACATGCAGACCCAGCATCACAAGTTCAATTTCAAATTATTATATAACAGAGACTCCAATATCATAATGACATTTTCTGGCACTGCTTTGCTCTCCAGCTTGGCATTGTAGTGCTCAAAAGCATAGCGTCGAAGCACTGCATTCCAAAAAAAATATATTTTTTAACACTTCTTAAATTTTTTTAATTATTATAATCTATCCACCTTAGAAAATTGTTGCTCTTAACTTTTTTACGGACACAAACAAACCAATGAAAATAAATTCAATTGGTAACTTCATCAAAATAAATCAATACAATTCAAAACTAAATCAACTCAAATTCATTCAAAAATCAACAAAATAGTACTAATCACTTATCATTCATTGTATTCAAATAATCACAAGTACAATCACAAACAAATGCATATTAATCAATCAACAAGCAATGAAATACTAATCAATTAAAATTAAATGCATAGGATTAAAAACTCTACCAATGGATCCTCAAGGTGCATCCCTATCATGTTGTTCGATCAAACTATAAACTTCAGGAAATATTTGCATCCGTGTTGTTGAAGTAATCTATACAGGTTCTAGTGACCTTCAACAATTCCTTATTCATCTGTCCTACTCGCATACCCTTCAATATATCTTCCAAATCCAACGATCCTTTATCGATAACCCTGCATAGATTTTTCTCCTCTAAATCTAAATCCTATTCCCTATCACTATATCGGACAATAAACCAACCATCTGGTGTCATCATTGTC